GCTGAGGTTTTAACTATGTTGTGTAGGATGTTATGACCCAAATTTCCCAGTTGCTTCCATGCCCTCCCCACCAGAAACTCTGTCTGATTTTCTTGAAGCTATAGTGGAGTCTGAGACATCATCTCCTAAAACCCTGATAGTCTTGGACTTGCTCAGATTTTTACCAGAGGATATTTCCTGAGGAGACACAGTTCCTACTGTAGATCGGGCTATTTCTCGACTTAGGAGGGCAACTGTCATACCAGTAGCTAATGCCCTGGCCACTCTAGAACTATGTTTTTGGGTTTTTTGTTTTTTTTTAATGCGGGTTCTGCTTTATCAGATATGCTATCCACCTGAACATGCAGCAACTGGGGAGCAGAAGTGTCTTTTCAACACATAGGCAGCCATAAAGGTAAGTATGTTGACTCTTGTGTAAAGAAGGTGACAGGGTCACTTTAGACTTGAACTTTGGGCTCCTCCTAACCCCCACTCCTCCCCCTCTCCCCTCTCTAACTAATCGCTGCTTTAGAAAAGAAAAAACTACCCAAATGCCCCCTTTACTCAACTAAATCTTCAGTCATGTGACCTTTCAGTCCTAAGTCGTTATCATCTTCTCCTCCTTTCCACTATGAATTGCTTCTGAATGGATGGGAGCAGGCTTTTAATTTTTATCTAGATGTAGGTTTTAAAGTGTATTTCCCCCATTACAGGTAGATTTGAGAAACCTCTACTATATGTTTGTGTTCCCATTTCCACAGCATACCTAAAAAGCTTTTTAAATATATATTTTAACCTTTCTAGTTGTTTCTAGAAAGGCTAATATGTAGGACTCTATAGTCAGCTTCTATTTTATTTTTTTTTAGAATAGCTTTCGATGTACAATTAGGGGACAACCTGAGGGACAGTTTTTGTTAAAGTGCATTAACCCTTTTACAACGGCTATACACTTTTATGCAGCAGGACAGGTTGGCCTAAAAGCTTAGTTGCCATACAGTATATGCATCCCTGTCTTGTCCAGAGCTTTGATAGAGGCATCACAGACAGCTCACAATCAAGTACTGATGATCTAGAGCTGGTAGGACTGGCTCCCAATGACGTCAGCATTATATAGCCAATCACAGTGCCACATAATGGGGAGCCCCTCCTACTGATCCCAGTCATCACAACCCATTTAAAGTAAAGTCTGGTGTAAAGGGGTTAACATAAAAGGTACCACCCAAGTCTTTAGATCATTAACCCTTTGTTAGGACATTGTGCACATACTGTATAGTTTAACCACTTCCTGTTCGGACACTTTTACCCCTTCCTGACCAGGGCAATTTTCAGCTTTCAGCGCTATCACACTTTAAATGACAATTGCGCGGTCATGCAATACTGTACCCATATGAATTTTTTACCATTTTTTTGAGACAGATAAAGCTTTATTTTGGTGGTATTTATTCACCGCTGGGATTTTTATTTTTTTTACTATGTAAATGAAAATGTCCAAAAATTTTGAAAAAAAGTTTTTTTTAAATAAAATTTTGCAAATAAATAATATTTCATCGTAAATGTTGGCCAAAATTTATTCCGTTATTTTTTTAGTAAAAAAAAAATCCAAATTAGTTTATAACCAAAAATTATAATTTTTAAACATTTTTTTTTACATTTTTTTTTTTTTTATATTATTATTATTATTTTTTTTTTTTTTTACATACTGTCACCCTAGCAGTACAGTGTCACCATGGTGACACTGTACTACTTGTGGGGGGTGATGAAGATTTTTTTTTTTTTTTTTTACACTGATTGCTTTTACACCCATATAGGATGTAAAAGCAATCATTTCTCTTTCTCTCTGTCTGCATTCTTGCAGTCATTGAGAAGTACTGAGTGAGCTGTGATTGGTCACAGCTTGTCACATGGTACAAGGCTGTTGTGAATAGCCTTGTACCATGTGACCTCTGTGATCATTCACAGATTTCACATGTAGTAAGCAATGATGTCACAAGTGACATCTTGCTTACTACTTTGCATGTGATCACTGATTCGCCAATCAGTGATCACATGATCGAGACCTCATACAGAGGTCCCGTCCGACGATCGGTGTTTCACTGTGTCCGGAGGACACAGCGGACATCGGATCGTGGTGGTGCGCGCTCCCTGGAAAAGGCGGGTGCCGTTTATGAATGGCAACCCGCCCCTGGAGTGCCACCGCCCTGCCGTTTATAAACAGCAGGCGGACGGCAAGAGGTTAAAACTGACAATGAAATCTACCAGCACAATACAGACATGGTTAATTTTGGTAAACGTAACTCCCTAGTCACCTTACAGGATGAGTTCACCTTTGGGAACATGTTGCATGTGCCACCCATTTTTAGGATGTAACATGTACCTGTTTCTGCTCTCCCCCAGATCCCCTTCTCTTTGTGACAGCAGGCCAAGGATCTTTTCCCTGCACCCGCTGTCACAATTTGAAAAGAGCGCAGCCGTGCGATCTGCCCACACGGCCTTGGCATTCATTCACACAGTTTGTGAATGAATTAACTCCCTTTGCGGATGTTGGCTTGTAGTTCTCAATGAACTAAAAGGACACTAATGAGCATCCCTGTGGTTTATTGATTCTTCTTGGACTGAAGTAACTGCCTGACAACTACGCCTGAGTCTTCAGGAGCCTGACACTGCACCCACGATCTGCTGATTGTGGTTGCAATGCTTTAAAGACATCTAAAAAAAAAAAAAAAAATAAATGCATATTTCTTTTACCTGCAAAAAATGTGCATGTATTTTATTTTATTTTTTTTAAGTGAAGGTATTCTTTAACCACTTCCCGACCGGCCGTTGCATATAAACGGCCGGACGGTGGCAGTGCAGGGTTGGGTGGCTGTTTATAAACGGCCTCCCCGCACCCTGCTTGTGCACGCTCCGGACACAGTGAAACGCCGATCGTCGGACAGGACCTCTGTACGAGGTCCCGATCATGCGATCACTGATTGGCCAATCAGTGATCACATGCAAAGTAGTAAGCAAGATGTCACTTGTGACATCATTGCTTACTATGTGTGAAATCTGTGAATGATCACAGAGGTCACATGGTACAAGGCTATTCACAACAGCCTTATACCATGTGACAAGCTGTGACCAATCACAGCTCACTCAGTACTTCTCAATGAGTGCAAGAATGCAGACAGAGAGAAAGAGAAATGATTGCTTTTACATCCTATATGGGTGTAAAAGCAATCAGTGTAAAAAAAAAAAAAAAAATCTTCATCACCCCCCACAAGTAGTACTGCTAGGGTGACAGTATGTAAAAAAATAAATAAAAAATAATAATATAAAAAAAAAATAAATAAAAATGTAAAAAAAAATTTTTTAATTTTTGGTTATAAACTAATTTGGATTTTTTTTTTACTAAAAAGATAACGGAATAAATTTTGGCAAAGATTTATGATGAACAATTATTTATTTGCAAAATTTTATTTAAAAAAACACTTTTTTTCAAAAGTTTTGGACTTTTTCATTTACATAGCAAAAAAAATAAAAATCCCAGCAGTGAATAAATACCACCAAAATAAAGCTTTATCTGTGTCAAAAAAATGGTAAAAAATTCATTTGGGTACAGTATTGCATGACCGCGCAATTGTCATTCAAAGTGTGATAGCGCTGAAAACTGAAAATTGCCCTGGTCAGGAAGGGGGTAAAAGTGTCCGGTCTGGAAGTGGTTAACATTACATAGAAAGCAAAAACTAAGATTTTTCAGCAAGCAAAACTGTAAGAAGAAATGTTTTTAATGTTCTACTACTGTGGAAGTAAGAACATGTAACAAAGTAGGTGCTATTCCAATTGGGATGCAAAAGTGGAAATACAGTTTAAGGGTTCATTTTCAATTCTGTCTGAAGTGCACCTTCAAATTGTATGTATCATTTAATAATTGCAGCGCCAGCGACCTTTTCTCATGATCGCTGCCGATGCCACTACCTAGGAAGCATTGGTCAGTCCTGCCTCTTTGTGATAACGCCCAGAGGACACTGGCAGATAATGGTGACTTTGATACTAGTTGATAGAGAATACCATCTGCAGTGTCAGTGGTGACAGGAAGAGACTGAACAGCTGCTGGTCCCAGATAAACAGATTAGCCTGTGGTCAGACATAGCCAGCATTGATCCTGTCCATGTCATGCCACCTCCCAGACAGCTATTGTGCAATCTCCCCCTCACAATCCAATGAGTTTTTTCTTATGATTTGAAAAGAAGAATGACCCACAGAAAATACACACGAGGTTCAAATTAGTTCAATAACCGACCCTTCACTCGTGGCAGACTTCGATTTTATGCTGTTTTTTTATATGAAGGACATGATATGCCTGAGTTTTATAAATAAATATTAAGGGAGTAACATCTTTAAAAATAGGGAATGAATTGAATTTTGCCATCTCTCTTCTTCCACAAATACTAGTTGCTGGGCTGTCCTGTTCAACCTTTAGCCTCAGTCCTTTAAGTCATTTGCCTGAGCCAGAAGTGCAGAAAAGGATTTCTAACTTTGCTCCACTGTTCCTGATCTGCATGATTTTTTTTTCCAGGTTAGTGAAGCCAAAGTGTCCGTAAAATAGCCAGGCAACTAGACTTCTTAAAAGGAGACCAGCAGCAGCAACTGCCCTACTTTTTTCATGATCAGGTAACTTTAACCCTTTGCCTACCGGGCACTTATACCCCCTTCCTGCCCAGGCCAATTTCCAGCTTTCAGCGCTGTTGCACTTTGAATGACAATTGTGCGGTCATGCAACACTGTACCCATATGAATTTTTTATTTATTTTTTTTATGACAGATAGAGCTTTATTTTGGTGGTAAATAATCACCTCTGGGTTTTTTAGGTTTTCTTAAACCAAAAAGCACTGAAAAAAAATTTTTTTTTCTTAGTTTTTGTTATAAAATTTTGTAAATAAGTGATTTTTCTCCTTCACTGATGTACGCTAATGAGGCTGCAGTGATGGGCACTGATAGGCTGCACTGATGGACACTGATAGGTGGCACTGATGAGGTGGCACTGATGGGCATTGACAGGCATCACTGATGGGCACTGAAAGGCAGCACTCATATATGGCACTGATAGGCGGCACTGCTAGGCAGCACTGATGGCAGTGATGCACACTGATAGGCGGCACTGACTGGCACTGATAGGTGGCACTGATTGGCAGCACTGATAGGTGGCACTGACTGGCATTGATAGGTGGCACTGACTGGCACTGATGGGTGACACTGAAAGGCAGCTCAGATGGGCATTGATATGTGGCATTGATGGACACTGAAATGTGGCACAGATGGGCACTGGCAGGTGGCATGGATGAGCACTGAGAACTGGCACTGATGGACACTGACAGGTGGCACTGCTGGGGCTACACAGATCATCAGGGCACACTGATCTTCAGTGCTCTGATGATCTGTGTAGATGTCCCCTCCGAGGAATGCCGATTACCGGCTCTCCTCACGAGCTGTCAGCATGACAGCTCATGGGGAGAGAAATGCCGATAACCGGCATTTCCCTGTTTACATGTGATCAGCTGTGATTGGACACAGCTGATCACATGACCGAGCTGACATCTTCGTCTCTTTCCGTGGATCGGTGATCCGCTGTGTCCGCGCTACGGGACACAGCACACCGCCGATCGCCGTGCTCCGGGAGAGAACGCGCATGCGTGGTGAGAATGGGAGGACGTCATAATGAGGGGCACGGTCATTTTGCATATTCTGTTCAAAGTGGTCATGACTATAGAGAGGGGACCTCTCTTCCCCCCACCCCATTGCACTGGTACTCTATATCTGCTTTCTCCATCACAGCTGGCACCTGAAACCCCAGTGTAAGTTGGTGTTGGACACTAAGTGGAGCGGTGACTTCATTTGTCCTGTCCTGTGAGAGTGTTCAGGCCTAGTTATTGGCTGTTAGATCCATGCACTGTTACATTGAAGGTGGTCACATGAGCCTCCATACCCGGTAATACCGTATTTCTTTTTGGTGACCAAGGCATCAGAAAGAGGAGAATGGGGTTGCTATTAAGATGAGGATTAGTAGCTTGCAATAGAGGTCCTTTTACACAGATACTGTCATTTTACCCTGAATGAGCAAAGTGACAGTGTCTCATTAAACACTTGTTTGTTAATAAACTGACATACACCCATGGCAGAAGGGTTTCTCTGTTTATGGGGTGCTCGTGCTTCTAAGACTTGGGAACCTTTAGTAATTTAGTTCACAGTGTGAGTTGGAAGCTGCAGCAAGTCAGATGGTACCTACCTAATATTCTTGCTGAAGAACGTCCTGTATCATTTAGCACTTTTCCTCCCTAACCTGCCTTTGACCTCGCCCTTCATTCATTGGATATCAGTTCTTTCAGTTCTGGAGGCTCAGCTTCACATGTGGGCATTACCTAAAGCAGTCTACATGCAAATGCAGTATGTCTAGGAATACCCACTCTTCCATGTGTACATCTGCCCATCAAGGCATTTTGACATTTACAGTCCACAGAGAAAGTATGTTCTAAAGTGGATTACCTAGGAAACTGGGAACTGGTACTCTGGCTCAAATGCCTTTGAAATGCAGGAATAATCCTCTAACACAATGAAGTCGGCTACTTGGTACAATTCATTGGATCAGTTATTTTAGCAGGATACAGCAGTAACATGTTAAGGTGTTTCAGGTGAAGCTTTGAGTATGCTTTCGGGCGAAACGCGTCAGCATGTTACTACTGTAGCCAATAAAGAATTGTTCCGGTGTATAGTACCAAGTAGCTGGCTTCATTGTATCACATGATTTTGACATTTATATAGATCTTCCAAAGAGTCCGTTCACAGTTTGCATCAAGGCTCCGGGCTCTTGGATGTAGTTCTGGATACTGTGATGTTTTAAGGAAGCTATACTGGCCTCTCCCAGTAGCTATGATCTGCCTGAATTGCATAGGGAAGCAGCAAGTGTTAGTGATGACATCACTGGACCTAAAATAAGGTATATAATAAAAATGGAAATACTTTTATTTATTTAAAATGATCATTAGCATGTGGAATAGGGGAAAGAAGGAACCAGAGAAGGCAAATATAAGCAGAATAAACGTTAGCTTTACGTAAATCTCTTAAAAATAGTGAAGATATCACAGCCACTAGAAGATCACAAATGCCTCCAAGGCCCCTACATTGATTGTAAATCATCAAATAGCCGCACAGCTGTGTCTAACCTACCTTTCATCCCACCACTGTGAGAACGTGATTCAGGGCTGCCTTGTAAACAGGAAGAGGAGCCACTTGCTATTATTTGCGCGTGTTACAAAATAAACTCATATTTTTCTCAAACGCAAGTTCCTTTGAAGCATTGTTCTGCTCCAGTGCATACATCTGCCGTAGGGCCCCTTGCGGCGGTATGCTTACAGAATCTCAGTCTCGTTACAGGAGCTGAAACTTTCCACGGAAAAGAAACTTGTGTGTACATACTTCTCTCTCCGGGTCTCATGAGTGTTTATAGCATGGTCATAAGTACTTGCTTTGCGCTGTGTTTAGAAAGCTCCTTCTCAGTAACTTCCTCCATAAGTGATTTTCAATGATCCCGAATAATTGTGCGCTGCTGGTTGATAAAGCAGCTTTTTCCTCTTATTGTAGCCAAAGGTCAAACAATAGCAACAAAGTATTTGTGTATATAGAGGATGGAGGTAAGAGGGTCACAGGATATTGTTCACATTGGGAATATAAGATGTAAGAAATGAAAACTTAATACAAGGACCACTTTGTGCTTGAAGTGTCTTATCCCCGGAGCAGCATCAGAATTTAGCTATGGTGTGTTTTGCTATTGATGCAAGCACTGTCCAGTATTTAAAGAAGTAGGGTTCTACTTCTCCTGGGTATCACAGGAGTGCACTTCTTTCTGCACTCCTATGACCCGGTTTCAGGAGACAGCTGGCTAAAGCTCACTGTCAGCAAATGTCATGGAGCCAGTCCATTCTCTGGAGAAATCCCAGCGGTATTGTCGGGATCAGGGGCGGACTGACCATTTGGAAACTCGGGCACTGCCCGAGGGCCCGGGGTCAGTAGGGGGCCCCGTGAGATGCCCCTGGTACCTTTTTCATAGGCTTTTTTGATTTCGAGCAAGGACACAGGGGGCCCCATGATCCCCTATTGCCCGGGGGCCCCATGAGTTGTCAGTCCACCCCTGGTTGGGATCCACCCAGATGCGTGGACTGGCAGCTGACTTAGTCTCTCAGCGAGTCACTGACCCAGCCCCTCCTGCCTCTTCACAGCCCAGCGCTCTAGTGAGCACTGGATGGGCAGAGCAGAGAGAAGTGACTGACAGTCACCGGCTCTGTTCAATGAAGACCAAGAACTGAGCAGTATTTCAATTCTCAGTCTTAGAAGCAATGGGGGACAGGTGTAGCATCTGACCGATCCTGAATCCACTTAGGTGAGTGTAGATTTTTTTTTTTTTTTTTTTTTTTTTCCCGAGCGTCTCTTTTAATGTACTATCAGTGTAATTCCATTCATTAAACAGGTGGTGATCATTGATTTCATTTAATTCATTTTAGTACTTTTTCGACCTTTGGTGTCAGCAGGCTTTTGTTTGTGTCAAAACTGCTTGTCTCCCCATACAAGTCAATGGGAGGGGAAAAAAGCAGTTGGCAGAAGTTGATGCGACTTAGGCCATAAAATGGAGGTCAGACAGAGGAATGCCGCAGGTCACATACATTTGTCAGTGATCTCTAATCTCAGAAGCATCTCAAAATGATCTTAAATGCAAGTGGAATGATCCTGAAAGCAGGATGCATTTCCCCATCACCCCAACCCCAAAGCCTATCAATACAAGCTCTTGGACTTGCAGACATGAAGCAATAGAAGGCAGCGACCATTAATTTTATTTCCCTGTTGTAAACGTCTACATTTTTTCATATCATGTTTGTCAGTGGTAGGGGTAGGCCACCAGAATGGATGATTTCAAGAGTGTTCAGATATTAGTCCGAATTCACTTGAGCTATCCCGCTAGACTTGTGATTGCACAAAGCCAATCATAAGAAGCCAAAAACATTGCCTGCATGGCAGCTGCATGTATACAGGGACGTGTATACACGTGGCTGCTGAGCAAGGAATGCTATGGCTGCATAGGATTGGCTTTGCGCAGTGACGCCTTTCTGGTGGGGTAGCTCTGATGGGTTCAGAATTGTATCTGAACCATCTTGATCTCATCCCTAATCACCAGTATGACTAGGATGGACTACCAGTGATTCAAAGGCAAGGCAGAAAGACCGCAAACTATCCCAAGTGTTGTCTACATGTAAGCAGCTCTCCCATGTTCATAGGCTGAAATAAGCAGAAGGTTTAACCCCTTCCCCCACAATTGGTATATAAATGTATTCTTCTATCAGTAAACGTCCTCTCTTTGACAGATGCCAGCCAATACTTTGTGTGGCTGCTGGTTGTCAAACTCGGTTATCACTTACTGCTTGTGATCCCACTAATAATTGGAAACCAGAGTGGATCCAGATTGTGTGATTGCTGCTTTCTCATTTATAATATATTATTTTACATGCAAGCTGAAGGCAGAGGCGTCCCTAGGGTTGGTGTCACCCGGTGCGGTGACACGTGATTGTCACCCTTCCGGAGAGGAAGGAGCGGTGCCGGTGTAGTGCTAAAATGAGTATCCCATGAAGATATGTATCCCCTGAAGCAACTGCACATGTACCGGTTTCAGGCCAAAGAAGCCGATCTCCAACTTTAGCATAGAGCTGCCACAGTTAACCCCTTACAGGCTGCAAACCACTGAAGCTGATCCCACGGATCACTATGGGTTGCAAGATCAGTTAATCCCATATATGTTGAACCTTTACGGGGTTAACTGATCTTGCAACCCATAGTGATCCGCTGGATCAGCTTCAGCGGTTTGCAGCCTGTAAGGGGTTAACTGTGACAGCTCTGTGCTAAAGTCGGCAATCGTCTTTTTTGGCCTGAAACCGGCACATGTACAGTTGCTTCAGGAGATATATATCTTCATGGGATACTCATTTTTTTTACCACTACATCGGGGGCAGCTGTCACTGTGCCGGGAATCAAGGATCACCCCAATAACTGGCCAGGACCTTCACAGAGCCCAGAAGCTCTGCTGGCATCCTGCTCCTGCACCCCCTGTGATGGTGTCACCCGGTGTGGCCCGCAACCCCCTAGGGATGCCACTGCCTGAAGGCATCATTCAGAAAAGAATTCTAACGTTGGCATGGGTATCTAGTGGTAGAGGAGGATGCAGAGGGTAGTACTGAAGTGTTGACAGGATAAGTAGTGCAAAAACAAACAGAAGAGTTTTCAGAGAATTCTGCTTTAATGAAGACTTAGACGTAGAGAGGGAGAAGACCCCCATTGTATTGACCATGGCTCACGATGGATCTTTGAATTCCTGTATAACGATTCCTTCACACCAAATTCACTGAGAGATACATATGAAATGATGATGTATGGTGGCATCTACCGTAACCAAAACTGAAATACCAGTATTTGTGGACTGACCTTTTTCTCTAAACTTACTGGCAAGCAGTCATATATTTCATTTTTGAGATATTCCTAATTCAGCTCATTGTACTTCACTAACGGCTGCTGATGGTTTTGGTTGGATGAAAATGGAACAGACTGATTAAGAATGTGAT